GATATGTGATGATATGTGGCTCGTTTGCAGCTTTCGTGGCAGGCACAGCACGCTGTGACCCTCGATGTGCAGATTTCGTGGCAGGCACAGCTTTCTGTGACCCTCGATGTGCAGATTTCGTGGCAGGTACAGCGCTTTGTGAACCTCGAAGTGCAGATTTCGTGGCAGGCGCAGCACTTGGGGAACCTCGAAGTACAGATTTCGTGGCAGGCACAGCACTTTTGGTGAACCTTGAAGTGCAGATTTCGTGACAGGTACAGCACTTTGTGAACCTCGAAGTGCAGATTTCGTGGCGGGCGCAGCACTTGGTGAACCTCGAAGCGCAGATTTCGTGGCAGGCGCAGTACTTTGTGAACTTCGAAGTGCAGATTTCGTGGCAGGCGCAGTATTTTGGGAACCTCGAAGCGCAGGTCGGGCAGGAACACTGGGCGCGGATGGTCGTGGTTGAGGTCCGGCAGGGATACAAAATTTGTCGCAATTCATCTTTGCGATTAAAACGGTGAACGAAATTTGTCGCAATTCTGGCAATTCCTCTTTGTGATGCTGCATTGCCGGGGCATTGTTAATTGTTTTCTTATTTTTTAAAATATTCTTTCACATGTTTGCTGAAAGTGGAATGTGCACACCATTGCGTACAGACTCCGTCCTCAACCAAATTGATTGCTGACGCTGGGCTCCAACAGGGCGCCTGGTAGGATTCAGTCTCCGAAAAATAATCTGCAAAGTTCCAACCTGATTGATGACGAAGAGAACAAAGCCTGTCTTGGACACTTCTGGCCACGACGTGCAGCCCCAAACCTGGCCCTACGTTCCTTACCCTTGCCTCACGCAAAAGCGAGGTTTGCCGAGCAGCTTGGCCACCTGAGCTTGACAAACAATTCATTCACTGCGAGATTCTATGTCCTGAGCAAGCAATGATGCACTGCAAATATGTCTCAAGAGTGCTGGGCCTTGTTTCACCAAATTGGCCGACGCCTGCGAAATCCGCGAGTGTCATTGCTCCAACCGACATCGTACTGAACTTCGAACATCCTTGTCCAGTTTCCCGACCCACGCAAATCACACAGCACAAACAATCCAAAATTTATTCCCCTTCTTGTGAAATGCAGTATGTCAGGATGTAAACATGTAACACATGTAAACATTATTCTTAAACACCATTGATCATTGTTGACCCGACACTGGCACATGCAAAATTGTGATTCTTGAGCCAAACCTTCCTGGCCAAGACTTCGTTGGAGCTGTCTCGATTCAGTTTGCATGCTAATATGCGCAGTACGCACTTGTCTGAAGTTAGATTTAGGATGGAACTATTGATTTGTACGCTGATTTTACAGCAAAGCCCGGCGCCGGTGCCTAGGCGCTAATCTTGTGAATTCTTCCTTATTTCAGATTTGAGATGCTTTCGCAAGACTTGAAAATAGACCGCAAATGCGAGAGGTGGCGCAATGAAGAGGCGAAAAAATGTAAGAAGAGAAGGCTCAGCATTGAGGCGTGAGGCTAAAAGAGGGCAATCGTTGGAAGTAAGGGAGCGGGAGAGAAGGACTAGTGCTATCGAAGTAGCAATCACAATTTCAGAATGACATGCAAACAACCCCCCCAAACAAGGAAACACGGGTTCATATGCTTCATTATACATCTACACTGGTTGAAAATCTGCCTGGTCTGCGGTTTTCAATTTTATTAAAACATATCATCGCTATAAAATCATGCTGAACCAACCCGTCTGTAAAATGATAGTATCTTGGGGGCATATGTTTGTGTATAATTTATTCAGCATGGTTGCTTTATAAAAACATGAGGGGAACAGGTTCAATTAACAAACCATGAAACTGAACTGGAATACTTGATCAAACGGCGGCGCAACCCTCACCTGTTTATGACATGTTTCTGGCATATGTTGGCAAGAATTGTCAAGCTGAAAACACAATTTTATAAACAAGTATTCATGAACAAGACAATGCTCCTGCAATGGAGCAATATGTTTTCTGTTTAGTAGTGTGGTGACAAGATATTGAAATGGTCGCTTATTCATTCTTGTTTGCGCGTTATGTGTTTATGAAATGATGATTTGCCTGTCCCAGAAAGCATTTCCTTCTCCAACATCTCACCCCTTGCATCTATAAATGTCTGCTCTGCTTTGAACATGATTCGACCAGGTTCCCATCTTAGCTAAATGACATGTTCCACGTCACCAGGCACAAACCTCGCGTGTTTTTTTGAGTGCACTTTCAGCCCGAAACTTTAGAACATACCCACTTTGCGCTTTACAAAATAGGGCTTGGAAACTGCATTTTAAACATGACACTTAAACCCCTTGACAGTGGCATACTCTAGGGGTATAGACAACTTACTTGCCTTGGCGAAATCTTCCTCCTACCAAGCAAGCCCGCCACAAACAACGACTATATAGATCAATCGCAGGGTATCGAAGTTCTAGGCCCAGCTCCAATGCTTGCAGGTTAACGATTCTTCACTTCCCTTCAAAGCTCATGCAGTTGATTTGGGATGTGATATGAACTGTAGCAGGGGAGGCAGGCGATGCAAAGCGTTTACAAAAAGGGTTTGCAACGCGCAGGGAGTCTTAAAGAGAATTACAAATGTAAAGTGCCCAGGTCTTTCAGGCAAAGAACGGCTGTGACCGCAGGTTTCGGTACATTTGCATACGGAACAGAAATTCAGACCTTCTAAATGGAAGACGCTCCGAACAAAAGTGTGCCAAGCCATCGGGGCTTCACAAAGTGTGGCTAGTCCGTGGATTGGAATGCTAGGCAACTCAAACATCTGTCTCGAATGATGATTTTTTGGAGAAGGCTTATCAAGGCATTTCCAGAGGTGCTGTTGTGGGTATAACACACCTTCTTTCCAGAGTGCAAAGATGGCTTCAATAGACTATTAGCTAGCTCTACTCGCAAAACAGGACCAGTCTTTGCTTTCCGGCATTCTTGCAGAGCATGCAGCTCATTGGGAACCAATGCAGGGTTTTGTCCTTCGTCATCATAATGGTTCCTCGTGCAACTGGTTGCTTTGCTCAAAAAAGTGGTTGAACTTTTGCGCTAGGAAAGTGTGGAAAGGATAGAATACACCAGGATCGTCCATGTAGCTGGAAGAGCCTCGCAGACACGGGCGGTGCTAGCGGCCCGTGACACAGAAGCAGGGCGAGTGCCTTGCAGGTCTTGGACAAGGACATGCGTGCTCCGTCCTCGAAGGCAGCACAAGCAGCGCTCCTAAAGACATGGCGAACATTTCACCAAGCGTGGTACGGACAGGTTCCCGCTCACACCACATCTGTCCACATGGCCTACGAGCTGTGGCAGCTTATGTGTCCTTCAAGGCTGAATAAAGGGGGAAGTTTAAATAACATTTTTACACTTGACGCACATTTCGCGCGAAAGGATTGCATTTTGTGGTGACTCGTCGACACCACCCCGCCCGGCCCAAGAAAGAAAGCACTTATATACAGCATTAGCAAAAAGAGAGAGAGAGAGAGAGTTGAGTTCGTGGGATGTATCACTTGCGCTCGGCTGACATGACCTTTCTTGCTGCGTCTCTAGGTTGGGAGGGGCAGCCAAGGGTTTTGAAATGCATCTGTTTGATGAAGAATGCCGGACTCTGACCTGCCATCTGCTTTGGCACCATGAACCGTGATTGCAACAGGCCAGGCACCTTCTGAGCTTGCGCCTCAGCTTCACGCTTGGCCCTGCGAGCCTGTCGCAGAAGGCCACACGTCTTACATTCCGCATAGTAGCGCGACAATTATACATAAATTATTGGCTTGGGATGCAAACGTGCACCTAAGTCAAGTTTACCTTATCTCGATGCTGCTGCTCATCAAAAGTTCACGCTAGAATCTGAACTTCTCTGGCTCCTCCATAACCGTGTCGAAAGGAAGCATCTGCGCAAACTTGGGGCAGCTGAGGTTGTAGTCTCGGACGCGCTTGTTGAGCGCAGCCATCTGTTGGCGAAATCTGTCCTGCAATCTTTTCCGCACAAGCCTGAACGGCCTCAACCTTTGATGTCTCACAAGGCACAGGACCTGTCCTTATGCGCAACATAGGCATGCGTTGGCTCAAACTTGCTAGCTGCCCATGCTTCAGAGAGCTGCCTCACCAAGGTTTCAAGCGTTCCAAACCCACCTTGCCGGCTAGCAAACGCCCGTCGGCTTGAAGAATATTCGAGGCGAGCCCAATACCAATGTAGACAACCCAAGTTATTTGTGTTCGCAGTGGGGTTTCTTAAATTGGAAAGCTTCCCAGAACCCCTCGACGGACTTGAGTCAAAAAACACAAGATGGAGCCCACGAACCCGAATGCAAACACGTTCGAAAAGCTACATATGTCCAAATGACACTCTTGTAGGACACTCTTGTGGGACACTCTTGTGGGTCACTCTTGTAGGAAACTCTTGTGGGACACTCTTGTGAGACACTCTTGCGGGACACTCTTGCGGGACACTCTTGTGGGACACTCTTGTGGGACACTCTAGTAGGAAACTCTTGTGGGACACTCTTGTAGGACACTCTTGTGGGATACTCCTGTAGGACACCCTTGTGGGACACTCTTGTGGGACACTCTTGTAGGAAGCTCTTGTGGGACACTCTTGTAGGACACTCTTGTGGGACACTGTTGCGGGACACTCTTGTGGGACACTCTTAAGGGACACTCTTGTGAGACACTCTTGCGGGACACTGTTGCAGGACACTCTTGTGGGACACTCCTGTGGGACACTCATTTGGAACACTCTTGTGGGACACTCTTGTGGGACCCTCTTGCAGGACACTCTTGTGGGTCACTCTTGTGGGACAATCTTGTAGGACACTCTTGTGGGACACTCTTGTGGGTCACTCTTGTAGGAAACTCTTGTGGGACACTCTTGTGAGACACTCTTGCGGGACACTGCGGGACACTCTTGCAGGACACTCTTGTGGGACACTCTTGTGGGACACTCTAGTAGGAAACTCTTGTGGGACACTCTTGTAGGACACTCTTGTGGGATACTCCTGTAGGACACTCTTGTGGGACACTCTTGCGGGACACTCTTGTGAGACACTCTTGCAGGACACTGTTGCGGGACACTCTTGTGGGACACTCCTGTGGGACACTCATTTGGGACACTCTTGTGGGACACTCTTGTGGGACCCTCTTGCAGGACACTCTTGTGGGACACTCTTGTGGGACACTCTTGTGGGACACTCCTGTAGGGCACACTCTTCGAACGAGACTTCCTCCAAAAGTCACGCGTCAAGTCTCAAAAACGAGCGTTTTTGTACGAGACTTCCTCCAAAAGTCACACGTCAAGTCTCCAAAACGAGCGTTTCGTACGAGACTTCCTCCAAAAGTCACACGTCAAGTCTCCAAAACGAGCGTTTCGTACGAGACTTCCTCCAAAAGTCACATGTCAAGTCCCCAAAACGAGCGTTTCGTACGAGACTTCCTCAAACTCACATGTCAAAGTCTGCAAAACGATCGTTTCGCACGAGACTTCCTCCAAAAGTCCAGCGGAAACACCCATTGGAGCACACACATCACGCAGCCCTCTTGTAGGACACTCTTGTGGGATACTCCTGTAGGACACTCTTGTGGGACACTCTTGTGGGACACTCTTGTGGGACACTCTTGTAGGAAGCTCTTGTGGGACACTCTTGTAGGACACTCTAGTGGGACACTGTTGCGGGACACTCTTGTGGGACACTCTTAAGGGACACTCTTGTGAGACACTCTTGCGGGACACTGTTGCGGGACACTCTTGTGGGACACTCCTGTGGGACACTCATTTGGAACACTCTTGTGGGACACTCTTGTGTCTTGTGGGTCACTCTTGTAGGAGACTCTTGTGGGACACTCTTGTGAGACACTCTTGCGGGACACTGCGGGACACTCTTGCGGGACACTCTTGCAAGTCCCCAAAACGAGCGTTTCGTACGAGACTTCCTCAAAAACTCACATGTCAAAGTCTGCAAAACGATCGTTTCGCACGAGACTTCCTCCAAAAGTCCAGCGGAAACACCCATCGGAGCACACACATCACGCAGCCCTGCCAAGCAGTTTCGCGATTCCAGCCCCTCCAAGCGACACCCGCTCACACGCCAATCCCAATGTGACAGCGACATTCACCTCTACCACAACTCACAACCTCCCGATTCCCCGCGCCTGCCAGGAATCTTTCCGCGTCCACACGTCTAACGCGCACAAAGTACTGCGCCTGCCACGAAATGTCACCTCCGTCACACCTCGCAACCTCACGATTCCCTGCGCCTGCCACGAGAATCACACTTCCACACCTCAAAAGCCGCACAAAGTACTGCGCCTGCCACGAAAAGTGACAATATCATCTCATGTGAGCTTCAACAAAATTTGCACCACACCACACGTTTGGAATGATTTCGACCCGTTCTGAGCACACTCCCAGAGTCCAAAATCGGCATTTCAGCTGAGACTTGTCACGAAAACAGAGCCTCGATGCCACATCCTGAAACGCAAATCCCAATGGCACGGCCACATCCAACACCCCAAAAACACGACTCTCCACACGCTAATCCCAATGGAACTGCGTAGCAAACTGCGGATCTCACAAAACGCTGCGCCTGTGCAGCGAAACGCATCACGTGTCTTGCGCCGCATCCCATTTTCATGCAAATCACAATGGAATAGCGGCGCAAACTGACACGTGACACATCCAAGCATAGTCACTTGCAAAAGCTTCCCCCAATGGCAGCGCCTTAGCGACCTACTGCGGACGGTTGCGAACGGTTGCGGACGGTTGCGAACATAGAAGCAACGGGTCGCGAACAAGACTCTACCCCCAGACCCCCAGAGTTAAACGAGAACCCTTCGCTACGCATTCGGGAATAAGACACACACGCACACACACACATGTGATGGGGAACTTAATGAAGGAGCAACAGCCTCTTGCTGGAAATTCAAATTCCTAGAACTCTTAGAAAACCTTAAAACTCCTAGGTCCTGGGCACACCTGGACACGCGTATGATATATAAATATGTATGGTAGCCCCCCCAAGACCTACCTTTTCCAAGATTCTACAGGTATTTACTTTCCTAATGCTGTTTTGTGATTTTTTTTGGATTCTACAGTTCTAAGATTTCTAGAACCAAGTCTGACTACAAACCAAAGGGGCTCTAAGATTCTGAGCTTTCTAGACACTTTTCTTAGAATCCCTCCAAAATCATAGAATCCAAAGGGATTCTAAGATTTGTAGAAACTTTTCTTAGACTCCCTCCAAAATCATTGACCCCCCCCCTCTGGCCAGAAGGTGATTCGGCGTACCGATTCAACTAAAAGCTATCGTATGCGTGTGGAAGGTGTGTTGCATGACCCTGTCATTTACTGCAAAAATCGCATGAGGGTACGGGGTGTTTGGAAATGGCTCAATCCACGATACGTCAAGGTGGTAGAGCACAAGCACCCTGGCTCCAAGAAAAAGATTCGAGTCAAAGCTCAACGCAAACGATTGATCGGTGCTGGCGCTTCTTGAGAGACCGCATCACCGTCAACCAAAATGCGAAGGCTGGCTCGCATCTTTTGAGAGCCAAATTGCGATCTGCCCAATATCAACATGGGCGCAAAAATGAAAACATGTGGCTTGCCACTGGTTCTTTGCGCCAACGGGCGTTGCACCGCTTGTCTGCCTAGAGGTACAGAAAATCCGCATTGACATTTGCATCATTCTGAAACATTCAAAAACATGAGCTATATTAAAGTTAACAACCTATCTGCTAAGTCTGACAACCTATCTGTGACACGACACTAACTCTGACAACCTATCTGTAGAATGCTATCATTGCAGCCAACCGAACAATGCAACCAACGCGTCCTTTGTCTGACCATGATGAATATGTATCAACATCTACACATGATACACATGTATTTGGAATGGTGAAAAGGTAGGTCGGGGGGGGTTGTACATATATATATATACATGTATAATAAAGGGGCTTGAGACATCAGCGTGTACAAAAAAATACAAACACACCAATTTTTACCCGCCAAATCATGCAAAGGCGCAGCAACATCTGCAAAAAACTGCAAAATAACGCGCATCCAGGAGTGTGCTTCCACATGGTGGAATCCAAGTCGCGAGAAGCACATCACTTTTCCCCAATACGACGGTAATACTATGTATGACTTTGAACCCCGTCGAGACTATCTCTTTAGCGTTTGCCCAAGTCCTTTGGTCAAGGGATGAGTTGCGTTGGTGCGGAGCAGTATTCACAAGTTACTCGGCACTCACGGGCTTCAATGTGGACCGGCGTCAATGCTGAATCTCGCCTGACATGCTGCTCTAAGTCGCTGTGAATGCGCTTCTGCTGTTCAATCCATTCCTCACAAGAACAAAATGGCCTCATGCAAGCCCTGCAAAAGCACACTTTCAGCTTGCCATGTGCCATTAAACTCGAACACATGGCTCCGGGGCGAAACCATGTTTTTTCAACAAACCATAGCCAACACGGTCAGCTTGGTCCTGCGCGCGACACTCAAAAGTGTTCAATGGTGCAGCATGCAGGTGATGGGGTAATGGTCAACAGGAATATGGAACCAAACTGTCCAAATATGGATTGTCACCGCCAAGCAAACTCTTCAATGGCTTTCCTTTGCCTGCCATGAGAGCTACAAGCAGAAACCACAAACAGCAGCCCTCTTCTCACGGTGTAATAGGTTCAAACTCTGCGCCCGTGATTTTGATTTATGATCCGCCAATGCACACGTTTGCATAGATCAAAGGTTTGAAAACAAAGACTAATCCAGAAATTGAAGGCCGAGTCCCAAGAATGAATCCCAAATCAAATTCATGGGAGGCTCTCCGGATCATCACTCCATACATGAGAGATCACGAGAGCATCCACACATGACAACGCACACACACACTCATTGGCATGCGTACTGACTTGAAAGCGGTGGCCACACGCCGGCCTAAGTGAAAACCTAAGAAAGCCAGGACAGTAAAAGTACGGTGTTCCAAACCACTTCAAAGCCTGCATGGCCTCCAACTCCAAATCGACAAATCCAGAGCGACAATGCACATCTGCCGATGATGAACCGATGCAAAGGCTGGACGTCTTGTTCTAGCTACAAGCGGTGAAGCAGGGCCCGCGATGAAATTTCTCAAATAAAACTGCAGGTACGTCTGGCTGATCAGGCCCTCTTCGTTGGATCACCAGTCAAGTCCGTGGGTGATCCCCCTGCGAAATTCAAGCAAACAGTCCAAAGGGAACCTCGTGACTCCAGAGGCCAGGACGGATGTGCATGTGTGCGCGCGCAGCAAAGACAAAAGAATGAAGACATGACAAGGGGACAAGACAGGACAAAGGTGTATGTGGTTGTGATGAAAGGGAAACCAAGTGCACAGGGACAAACGATGAAAGCCAACCTCATTGTAAAGACCTTAAAGTCAAAGTAGTTGCGCGCGTACACACTAAGGCCGGGACCAATGTGCGCGCAAACGAAGGAAAGGATGAGATGACAGGACATGAAGGCAGGAGGACATGAAAGAAAAGAGGAAAACAGATGTGTGTGAAGGGAAAAAGGAGGAAGAGGGAACCAAATGGAGGGGACGAGAACCGATGAAGCCAAACCTCATTAGAAACACCTGGGCGGACCTCGTTTACATGTGGACGCTGTGTGTGCGCCTAAGTGTGGGACAGACTCCAACGAGTCTTGAACAAGCTTCGGCCGCTGCGGCCACGTACGCCGTGCCAAAATGGCTTGCTGCTTTGACCGCTGTGGTCACGTAAAGGCATGAGCCAGCTTGGACTTCAATAATTCAGCAAGTCTTGGCAAATAACTTTGGCCTGAGCCTACTTTGTCCGCTGCGGACTGCTTTGTATCCGGGCAGGGGATACGTTCGACAAACCCCCGTTCAACGGTTCCACAGGGGCCACTCTGCGGGGTCTTAAGAAAACCAGGACAGGTAAAAGTACGGTGTTCCAAACCACTTCAAAGCCTGCGTGGCCTCCCAACTCCAAACCGACAAATCCAAAGCGGCAATGCACATCTGCCGATGATGAACCGATGCAAAGGCTGGACGTCTTGTTCTAGTTACAAGCAGGGCCCATGACGAAATTTCTCAAATAAGGCTGCAGGTACGTCTGGCTGATCAGGCCAAATATCAGCGTGGAACTTGACCCTCTTCGTTGGATCACCAGTCAAGTCCGTGGGTGATCCCCCTGCGAAATTCAAGCAAATAGTCCAAAGGGAACCTCGTGACGCCAGAGGGGACACACGCACACACACACACACATGAGAGCATACGCTTGAGAGCACAACAGAGCGCGCATACAAGAGCTAACATACATACACCAAATACTGTGCCCGCCGCAAGTGCGAATCCTGGTATTCACAATAAGAACCCCTTATTCCCATAGTTGCGCGCAACTTGTTTGGGTAAGCCACTCTCCAAGCCTGCCCTCCGTGGCTGGTCAACGGTCAACTTGCCTGCTTTTGTAGTCAAACGCAATTTTCAGTAGAAACTCCTGAGTATGAGATGGAGGCAAGAGTCGAACACAAACGAAAAGCTTATACTCAACATGCGTTTGTGGAAGTGGAAAGAAAGAGCGCTCAAAACATCTTCAAACACTTTGTAGGAAGCGCTTCCCTCTTGGCATGGGCAACGCGATGCCTACGGGTGAGGTGTGCCGCGCTCTGATTTTGCGCTTCGAAGAGGAGTGCAATGGAATTCGAGAGTTCCATACTGCATCTAGTTTGCAGTTCACACATACGGGGCAAGTCAAGGCACTTGGCACTGCAAGGGTTGCAAAGAGTTCAACTTTTGGCAAAACAGGAGAGAGAAGGGGAGCGAAGAGAGAAGAAACGTATTAGTCGGTATTAGTAAAAGTATTGTCTGAAATACACTTTTGGCGCACTTGCGTTTGCACTTAGTGTGAGACATGGCAACAATTCTCAAATCGAACAAAGAATTGCTGGGAATTTTGGTTAAAACAACGAGCAAAGATCAGAATTTTGTAAAACATGATGAATCATGAAGAAACTCATCTTCTTGGGAAACTTCCAAGCCCTCCCCCATGCGTAATATTGCTGCAAACCTGGTTCGATGCTTTCCATGACATCTCTTTCACAAATTACACTTCAGCGTTTGCCAGCAAACGCAAGCGTGCCTTCCACGTTGTCGAACTCTCCATTGGCTGTTGCTATCTGAATTTGCTCCTCCACCTCTTGCTCAATGTCCTCCAAATCTCCTTGGCTATGTTGAAGGCCTTTGGTGTTTAACAAGAGCATCAAAAACATCCAAACACTACAATTTCACGACGTTGGCGTGGAATTGTCGGGCCTAGGCACGGTCATCCATTCTTGGCTTTGCTGACCTCGCTGGAGTGGCAGGCGGCATCATCATCATCAACATCATCATCGTTCTTTCTTTCTTTCTTTCTTTTACACCTTCCTTCCTTCCTTCCTCCCTCCCTCGGTTTCAGCCAGCGGTTCTGAGTCCTGCCAGTATGCGCTGGGTGGAGAGTCGATGGCAGAGATCCGCGCGACTCCACAGCAGGTTGGCCCCACGGCCCACTCCAATCTCCCATTCGTTTTTGCAGGGAGCCAAGCAGCCAGGGTCAGCGCGAATATTCTCCATCTGCTCCAGGGACGGCAGCGGTTTCGGATCATCACGCTGTCATCATCCAAGGTAATGGGTTGCGCTCCACCATGAGGATCGCATGCCAGCCATAGGACACAGATGGTCACCAGGATGAGATCTGATGGATGATATAGTCCAGCTCCAGGTGGCCCATGACATAGAATGACGCACGCGGCTCGACCAAGTGAGCTTGCGTTTGCGCTTGCTGCCATCTGCGGTCCACGTGAATGCGCGCGAGGTCACGTGGCCCACTAGTGCGTGTAGACCGTAGGAGCCCATCGACCAGTCTGTGAGGAGCTGCTGCAGATCCACCTGAGCTGGTGCAAATGCACAAACTGATGGGGCAACCATGGTCTCCAGTATCTACGATCTTCACATTTCCCTGATCGTCTTCCATTCTTGATTGCAGCTGTGAGGAAGTGGGGATTCAAGGTGGGCAACAGAAAGTGTAGGAAGTCAATGATGTCACGTTGACAAAATGCTTGTTTCCACTTCGGCGTGTGCTTGGTCCACATACCACGCAGCAATTGCGAGAAAGATTGAGGGCAAGTTTGCCCAGAGATGGTCTTTCAGGCCATCTACCGCATTTGGACCCCAGAGCAACTGATAGCATACTGAGTGCGGGTTGGCAAGTCCCGCCAGGTCGATGTCTGGCTGAGAATTCTCCACCTCAGAGCCCCGAAGCAAACGATAAGGCTGCGCTGTGTGAGAAGAGCCATGATGCGCTGCAGAGCGTGAATCGCTTGTTGGAGAGTCAGAGGATCCTCTGGGGCTCTAAGCTTTTGGGATCGTTGTTCTCTTTTCAGTCTGGCGTTCTCCTGGACGATCGTGTACTTCATCTTGGTCAGCGTCCGGGCAACTTCTTGTTGCGCGGTGGTCTGCTAGTGTTTCAACAGGCGACTGTGAAGCGCTTCGAGGAGGGCCTTCCTGGTCAGGATTCGCAGCGGCAGTGGACGGGATGGCTGGAGGAGTACACAGCATTCAACGGCTGCAGTTTCATGGCGCACTGAGTTTTGAGGTGTTGGTGGTATAGAGCGCGCCCCTGTTGCAGTGTTTGGCATGATGGTGCCACAGGTGGATGCGCAGGTTTTGAGGGTCAAGCTCTTCCCCACGCATCTGCTGAAGATCGTGGTAAACGATGAGAGCAAGCTGTGAGTGGACTGTGCAGACATGGGGCAGGATGAGTTGCGTAGAGCGCTGCAGCGCTGAAGCCACTCTGCATATCTGGTGAGATCACGCCAGCCATCACTGTGGTCCTGATTGATGTGCTTGAGAAGAGAGGCTGATCAGTGAGAGAGATGAAAGCTGCAGATCTGTCCAATCCTCCTCAGCAAGGGCTTGTGTCGCATGAGGTGATCAAAGGCGCCGCCATTGAGTCCAGAGAGGATGACTGGATGAGCAGTGGTGGGTCCGCAATTGGGCAGTGAAGGGGAGGAACTCTCCTTCGCAGTGAGCGCACGCGCGTTCACGAAGGATGTTTGATCTTGTTGGGCAATGAAGCTTCTGGTAGGGTGGCTGGTGACTGCAGCTCCATGACCGTGTGTTGGTGAAGGCCAGCCGCCGTGGCATATTGCCTCACAGCGCGTCCATCTTCTGTGGTGGTACAGCAAGTAGATCTGTCTAGGACGGGTCTTCAAGGGCCAAGCCCAGTTGCTTCACGATTGGGCTGGTGTGCGTCTTGGACTTGAATTCCTGTCCACAGTAGCCACAACTGTGTGTCAGGAACGTGCCAGAGGCCTCGATCTTCTTTGAGCAATGGGAAATATCCAGGAGCTTTCGTCGGGAGGTAGCCAATTCCATTGCGCTGGCCTTTGGATGGATCGAAAATCAAGGCAGGAGTAGCTGCAGATGAACCAGGTTTGACCATCCTACAAATGATTGACCGCAGTGTGTGGAGGCGGGTCGTCCTTCCTGAGCATCTGAGGCTATGATCATATTGTATCCGCGTAATGATAGAGGTCATGTCGTCGAAGTGTATGGGCGCGCCACATCGACAGCGTTCCAGACCCGCCTGAGCAATCAAGGAGGGGACCAACGTCGGTGTGCTGGGAGTCCTGACGCACCCAGCGGTCAATGACATGAAGGTTTTGTCTTGATGCGTCGAGGACATTGTGGTGTACAACGTCGTGGGCTTCCATGGACTGCGTCTGCTCCTCAAGTGTGGTCACGCGTCTGGCCACGTGTTCCCGGAGCAAGCTGACCGGATGAGACCAGACCACCGTTTGGCGCGGAGGGGGCTTTGTGTGATTGGTGTAAAATGAAGGAATGGTCATTGGCCACCTAACGAAGTTTAAGCAACTGTCTGCTGTAGTGGAGGGTGTTCAACCCCGACCGCGTCCAGCCCATAGTGAGCGCTGGGAAGCACACCACACACGTTTGCCACTTTTCGTGTCATAGTGACACCCAAGTACAGCTGTTGTTCTTGTAGTGGAATCTCATAGAGGCTATTGTTTGGACCGGGAAAGCTAACTAATCGCTTGGTTGGAGAGCTTCTGCTTGATGTATTTGCGCCGCAGTTGCTTGAGGTCTTTGCCATGTAAGGTGAGAAGCACCGTGGATTTGGTCCTGTTGAAATCACGAGGCCCGGGCGGTAAAGACCAGTTTCAAACATCTGCTCACTGGTGAACAGGAAGGATACACGACCATCGTCCGCATAGAAAGTCCAGTGTCTCTGCATCCAATCCCACGTGGACTGAGTTGCCACATGTTCCAAAATCAAAGCGATGAAGCAGCTCCAAAAGAAAGGCCCCGACAGCCCTGTCAAACTCCTTTGTATGTAGCAACTTCTTTTTCTCGCCCTTTCCACTGGACAACATATGAAGTGCAGGTATGCCAGGTCATCGACAGATGAATCAGTTCCATGGGAAGTTCAAGGAGCTTCAGGGCCGCCCAGAGATGTTGCCTGCGCGTGGCATCAAATACGCCAGTGAGATCCAGGAACAGTTGGCATCCACCAAAGCATGGTGGGAATGTCATCAGGCCCTCTCACTTTGGAGGCATCACAGCGCCATTGATGTAGCAGCGCTTGTACCTCACGCACGTGCTGAGTAACTCTGTTGATAGCATTCCAAGTACCACGTCCAGGAAGGCATGCAAACTGTGGATATTGTATCAGTCTGCAAAGACTGCGTGCGTGTGTGACGAACAGAGGCGTCATAGCTCGGACACGTTTAGGAAGAAGGACAGCCCATTCCATAGGTATGGCGCCTTATGTGATCCACTGTCGAAGCCAGCCTCCCAGAAGTGGACCACGGTCAGTTAGTTGTCCATCTTGGCGACGAAGAGCCAGCTGCCTGCGCGAGTGACTTTTGGGCGTCGAATGATCTGGAAGTATTGATGTGTGTTGTTGCTGGCCCAGTGGTGCCTGGCCTGGAGCATGATGTGTTGCGCGCGTTGTCTCCTTGCCTGTAGAGCTCGTTTGCGGGCCTGACGTTTCAAGCCTTGTTGACGGCTTGATAATGCCAGGAGGAGAAGAGTTGTCCTAGCCAGGGGTCTGAAGCTCCTGGACAAGGGCTTGGGCCCACGACCATTGCATGGCGTTCTGATGACTTCATTGCCTGAGGATGAAAGTCTCTACAGGCCTTCGTGAGAAGTTGATTGAGACAAGGGAGGTCAGGTTCTGCAGGATGAAGTTGTTGAAGATTGGTCTGAACCTGAGTAATACAGTGTTGCCAGTAGATGCTGTTGGCCTCACTGTGTGAACAAAGAAGGTTCCTTTGAGTTTTGGTTAGGGTTCTGGCGGTGGTGGTCCATCGTCTCTATTGATACGGAATGGTAGTCAGCGTGGGAACGTGATCCGGACGCATGCCAAGTCCATGAGGTACACCGGATGTCTTGTGAGGGAGTCCCCAGCTCTGTGTTTGACCAGAATGAAATCGATTCTTGAACTTGCTCCCCAGGGGTCCCTGGTAGGTAGCTGGGAGTTGGGTGTCCCAGGTGTTGATGGCCTCTAGTCCATAATTGTAGTAGGTCTTCGAAGGTCTTCTTGTCCTTGTGTGGAGGCCCTCTCTTGCGTCCTGCGGCTGTCTGGAGGTCTGAGAGACCTACGCAGTGTGGAACATTATTGTGCAGTGTCGTGTTCCAGTCTCCAGCCATAACGAGAACGAGAACATTTCTGTTGGGAAGAAATTGTAGCAGCTGATGACAAGCTGCCCAAAAGGTCTTGCGTTGGGCTAGGTTGTCAGGGTCGTGAGCGTGCCACACATAATGACAAGCAATAACGACGTCAAGGTTGGTGCGTTGGAGGTAGAGGCGAATGTGCATCAGCCTGCCTGGGCCTCCAGGCAAGTCTGTCTGATGAGCAGTGTTGTTTGCTAACCATAGTGAGCGCAGGCCTCCTGAGAGTCCTGCGTAGCCGCATTGGAAGTGGTCGTCTTGCCACATCTGGTGTCCTGAACCAGGATGTCTATGTGTTGGTGGCAAAGCCGCCCATGATCCAGTTTGTGGATGCGAAGAGCTCCTATGTCGCAGGATAGGCATGTCAGCCTCTGTACAGGTGTGTCCGTGTAGTGTGGCTTGTTTCTGTGCTAGGAAGGCGCGCTTGCTGTGAAGAGTCCGATTTGGATGAGGCTCATAGTGGAGCATGTGGAGTAAGGTCCAATGCCACAAGGCTTCGTCCTCTGTGTACGTGGGGCGCTTGAAGTCTGTAGGACGCCTCCACGCCCTTGTTTGAAAGGGCGTGGTGAAGAAGGCGGTGAGGAGCGTGAGGAAGAGAGCTTCTCGTCAAGGTCGATGCCAGGTCAAAGAAGCCCAATCCTTGTAGCGCAAGTTCACCAGCAGGAGAAATGCTAGGTAGACAAGCGCAGCAAGAAAACAATCAAGTAGGACCTGTTGAGGTAGATGAGGGGCAAGTCGACGAAGAGATCTCCAGCAAGGAGCTCCTGAGATAGGGTAGCGTAGGGCCGGTAGCCGAGGGACTCAAATCGACAGATCCGCACTGTCATGGCCCTTATCATCATCATCGTCATCGTCATCATCATCGTCATCATAGTCATAGTCGGCATCTGTTCTTCAAAGTTTTGCTTTGCTGACTATCTGACTAATGTGTCTGTGGTGCCAGGCGAGAGATCAGACTGGTTCTCCTTGTTGTTTTGATACTCGGATGCTGCCACAAGACTTCGCTGGAGTCTGTTCCTGGAGCTGCTCAGCTGAGATCTGCTGAGTCTGAGAAAGCTGGACACAACGATCTTGCTCTTTTTTGTTCCTCCTGAATCCAAACTCGCAACATAGGGAAACAACCATGGGCAAACGTAGTGACCCAGCGACTACACTCTGACCTCGAAGCGTTTTTCGCTCGATCAAAGACCGTCTTCCCGTCAGCGTCATTGGTCAAGAACTGCCTCTCGTCAACGTTGGACCGCTTGACCTTGGGCGCTCTGACTAACTTCATTCAATTATCAGTGCGCTCATCTTTCTTCAATGTTTTGTCACGTCCCAAGGCATGCTCACCCGGGCACAAAATCCAAACTTCCTGAATATGTTTCAGATTCCGTTTCATTCTTGTTCTTCATTCTTGCCAACTTGCCAACACAGGTGTCACATGTGTCACGTTCACTATTTTGTAGCTTGGTGTTCAATTTACTACCCGGCGCTTGAGCGGCGTGATAGGACCTCATTCTGAATGTGCTTCGCTTCTGTATCATGTGCCAACGCGCGCCGGCAGGTTTGAATTCAATGCGCAGAAACTTTCCGTCGATGACCGAAGTGTCTGCTTCTCGCGCGAAGGCTTCCATGCCTCAAGTTGACACTTGGTATCACTGCGCTGTCTTCTAGTGCTGCGTGGTCCATCGCGAATGTTTTTGGAGGGTAGAGATAGGCAGGAGCGCAAACCCAAGGGCTACGAGAACAGCAAGTTTGCCTAACCAAAATACGTTCGCGGTTTTACAAGAATTCTGCATTCCAGAAGGCACGCTTTTGGAAAGGTTCAAGAGCGTTGCAAATTACATGGCAAAACTAATTCCATGCACCTGAGACATTTCTTAATTCTCGAAGCCCGCAGTTGCCACTAATGTCCAATTAGCAATAGTAAACCCAATCTTTAATTGTGCTTTCATTTAGCTCCATTTTGCTTTGATTCTGATTTCATTTTGTTCCCGAGAGCGTCTGCGAAGGGCTCTTCGTAAAAACATCTGCAGAACTACACCTCCTCTACATCTTCACATCTTCACCTCTGTACAATCACGTTGTCACCTCTATCTCTGCTCATCTTCACATCTGCACATCCTCACATCTACATCTCAGCTCATCTTCACCTTCACACATCTACATCTCTGCTCATCTTCACATCTGCGCGTCTACATCTCTGCTCATCTTCACATCCTCATATCTACATCTCACATCCTCGCCTCTCGCTCTTCTTAACTTTCTCTCTTAAGGCCGGGGGCAGTGCCGCCGGACCGCCGCGAAACGCAACCCTCTGCGGAGATCGTGCGTGTCGAGCGCGCGAAATGCAAGCGAGAGTGCGATTTGTCTCTGCCGCGGGCAACCCTCTGCGGAGATCGTGCGCGCCAAGTGCGCGAAATGCAGGCGAGAGTGCGATTTGGATTTGTCCGGCGCAACCCTCTGCGGAGATCGTGCGCGTCGAGTGCGCGAAACGCAGGCGAGAGTGCGATTTGCGTCTGTCCGGCGCAACCCTCTGCGGAGATCGTGCGTGTCGAGTGCGCGAAATGCAGGCGAGAGTGCGTTTGGGGAGCTGGAAGATGAGAACTGGCGACTTTCTAGTACAACTGTCGTACGCGGAGTAGCTGGGGAGCTGGAAGATGAGAACTGGCGACTTCGTAGTACAACTTTAGTACGCGGAGCAAGCTGTGGAGCTGGAAGCTGAGAACTGACGACTTTGTAGTGCAACTTGAGTCCGCGGAGTATCTGGGGAGCGGAAGATGAGAACTGACGACTTTCTAGTACAACTTTAGTACTGGCGACTTTGTAGTACAACGTTAGTGCGCGGAGTATCTGGGGAGCTGGAAGATGAGAACTGGCGATTGTCTAGTACAACTTTAGTGCGCGGAGTAGCTGGGGAGCTGGAAGATGAGAACTGGCGACTTTGTAGTACAACTTTAGTACGCGGAGCTAGCTGTGGAGCTGGAAGCTGAGAACTGACGACTTTGTAGTACAACGTTAGTACGCGGAGTATCTGGGGAGCTGGAAGATGAGAACTGGTGACTTTGTAGTACAACTTTAGTACGCGGAGCAAGCGGTGGAACTGGAAGCTGAGAACTGACGACTTTGTAGTACAACTTGAGCGCGCGGATGAGTCATCTCTCGCGCTTCATTTGTGCTTCATTTGTGGAGGAAGTCTCGTACGAAACACCGCAGATCTCCCTCTCAACCCCCCACACTCCCACACATCGGGGTAGCTCGATCACACCTGCGCATCCACATAGTCACTCCTTCACATCCGCCCTCTCCTTCTTTCTTTATACATATCTTTTCTCTGAATAGTTTACATTGCGTCTAGAGGTCATGACTCTGGGACGTCAATTTGAACTATCGGCTTGCTCGGCGTTGCGTCCTTGGCGCAATCGACCCTATGTCTTGGAAGCGTTGTGGCGCCTGCGGAATGGCAGAGAGACTTTAGCGCAGCACACCGAGACTAATTTGTGTCGTGGGTCGTCCGTCGAGACTGTTCGGGACGAAACTGCGACATCATCGCTTCAACGACGGGGTCCGCGACTGTCGGAAAAAGGGACGTGACGTTGATATGTGTCTACTTCACCTGCGCGACAATCGATGCGCAGTTGGAACGCACGAGTCACTTGTCCTGATCGTAATGTCGTTCGCTCTCAGGTCGCAATGTTGGTGCTTTGAAGGGCCTATCCGCGAGAGTGGTGATGACAGTGATGACTTGAAGCACACTTACTGCGTACTTTCTCTGTGTCTGAGACTTGAAGTCAAACTGATTTGCTTTGAGCCTCTGCTCGCAGGATCTCTACTCGCCGCTTGATTTTGGGACCAGGATGAAGCGCACACAACTCCATTTTGTGCGCGCTTCGACCTGCTGACGGTTTACTTCGTTTTTGTCTTGAAATGAGACTGACTTGTCTTCAGCCGTTTGAAGAGCGACTGACTTCTGACGAACCTAAGATATATCTTTTCTCTCGCCTCTGTCCATTTACGTCTTCGCACGCTCGCATCCATACATCTACCTCTCCACCTCCATACATCTACACATCTGTCTGACACCTGCACATCCACACTGTCACTCCTTCACGTCCATCCTTTCTTTCTTTCTTTCTTTGTCGATGTCTTTTCCACAGTACTGGACAATCACATGTCTCGCTCTCGGGCCACCCGTCGTCTAGTTTGATAGGGTTTGCGTAAGGAAACCTAAGGCTTTTGGCTACCCAGAAGTTTTTGGGCATCTGATGGGAGCAGGACAAAGATAGGAGAAGTTAAAAGTAAAAGGGAAAGCGCAAGGCAAGGATATGCCAGCAGGGCTGCAGGCGGGTTGATAGGTGTAGGTCGGTTTATAATTGCAAGGGGTAGGAGCCTAAAGGGGTACCCTTTGGAGATAGCATTTTTGTATTTGTTTGATAAGGTTTGCATAAGGAAACCCAAGGCTTTTGGCTAGCCAAAGTTTCTGGAAATCTGATGGGCAATGATCAAAAAAGAAAGGCGCAATAAAAGAACAACGCGAAAGGGAACAGGAGCAGGACAAAGACAGAAGGAAAACGCAAGGTAACTAACAAGCCAGCAGGGCTGCAGGGGGTTGAATGTTGTAGGTTGGTTGATAATTGCAAGGGGTAGGAGTCTAAAGGGGCACCCTTTGAAGATAATGTTTTTTGTATTTGCTTGATAGGGTTTGCATGGGCTTGCGTAAAGAAACCCAAGGCTTTTTGGCTAGCCAAAGGTCTTGGAAATCTGGTTGGCAAAGATAGAAACGAACGATGCAACAGAAGAACAAAAAAGAAAAGGGGCGGGAGCAGGACAAAGATAGGAGAAATTAAAAGTAACACGCAAGGCTGGAGGGGTGTTGATTATTGTAGGTTGGCTTTGTATGTGCAGGGGGTGGGAGCCTAATGGGGCGCCCTTTGAAGATAAGTTTTGTATTTGTTTGATAGGGCTTGCGTCAGGAGACCCAAGGCTTTTGCTTGCTAAAGTTTTTGGAAATCTGATGGGCAAGATCCAAGCAAAAAGGTAAAAAAGAACAAAAAACAGGAACTGGAGCAGGACAAAAAAACAGGCAAAACTACTAGTTAAAAGTAGACGGGAAAGCGCAAGGCAAGGATAAACCAACAGGGCTGCAGGGGGGTTGATAGTTGTAGGTTGGTTTATAATTTCGAGGGGTAGAGGAGTCTAAAGGGCGCCCTTTGAAGATAGATTTCTTGTATTTGCTTGATAGGGTTTGCGTAGGGGACCCTAAGGTTTTTGGCTAGCGAAAGTTTTTGGGCATCTGATTGGCAATGACAAAAAAGATCCCACTAAGAACAACAAGAAAAGGGAAATCAATTAACAGAGGAAGCATTCTGAAGGCAAGTTGGGATCTGAAAGGAACAACTTATTACTATTGTCTCATGTTTATAATTGATTCGCAATTTTCCCCTAACAGTGTGGTCACACTAAGGGGTTCTTACGGTAGTGGTTAAGGATATTTCGTTGCTATTTGCAGTGCGTTCACGCCTCTCGAACTCCTCGAAATGGATTTCGACTGCGCAGGCTCACAGAATCTGGCGGGGCGCGGCGGGCGCTCTCGTTGCGGGCCGCGCGCATTCTCGGGCATGGTGGTCACTTTTCGTGGCGGGCGCAAGGGAAACCTCGTGTTTTGGCGGTCCAAAGTCGACTTGTACTTCGTGACAAGTGGAAGTGATCGGAGCGGTTGTGCTTCCAAGTGCAGACTTCGTGGCAGGCGCAGCGCTTTGGATATGGTGGTGATCTTGCGCGCCCTCTCGTTTCGTGACAGGCACGCTGAATCGTGACTTTTGTACATGCGGTTCGTTTTCAGAAACCGTAGCAGGCGCAGTATACTTTGTGGACCTCGAAGTGCAGATTTCGTGGCAGGCGCAGTACTTAGCGGGCTTTGAAGTGCAGATTTCGTGGCAGGCGCAGTACTTTGTGGACCTTGAAGTGCAGATTTCGTGGCAGGCGCAGCGCTTTGTGAACCTCTAAGTGCAGATTTCGTGGCAGGCGCACAGGTGTGAAGGACTTTGTGGACCTTGAAGCGCAGATATCGTGGCAGGCGCAGCGCTTTGTGAACCTCGAAGCGCAGATTTCGTAGCAGGCGCAGCACTTTGTGAACCTCGACGTGCACATTTCGTGGCAGACGTAGCGCTTTGTGACTCTGCCTCTGAATTTGACTCTCACTTTCACTGTCTTTCTCACTCTCATTCTCACTCACCCTGACTCACTCTCACTCACACTCTCACTCACTCTCCAATTCACTCACTCATCGCCACCATCACCGCCATCATCACCACGATCTCCACCTTCATCACCACCATCACCCCCCCCAATGCGTCTAGATCTCTAGACTTTCTGCTGCTACACCTCTACACGCACTGTTTGGGGTCTCTTGCCGGGTATTTTTTGAATTGATTTTGGGGTCTGGATGTTGGCCGTTGGCCCAGTAAAAAGTATATTGCAAAATCCCGGCAGGCGAAAAAGGTTGATTGTTGTTGACACATGGTTTATACGCGCTAATTTAATTCAACATTACAAATGTTTTCCTTGTAGCCTTGGGCATATATAGTATAGTATGGCGCGCGCGCAGAATCGTGCAATTTTCGCATACTTTTGCGAATATCTGTGGAGCCCTTAAGCTATCAGCTCCGATCTGTCAGTGCGTGAAACTTTGAGGCGTAAACTTCTTTGGTCTGATCCTGAGCGCCAAATGCAACCACCAAGACGACTCAGCGGTGAACGAGGCTCAAATCGCCTCGAGGCAAGCCACCCAGTTGGGTTTTCTTCGGGGCGCAGAGCGGCCATTGATGCTCCGCCCAGCCTTGGATATGGTTGAGTCGTTGCCCTCTGCCACTTGTTGTTGCTCTGAGAAGAAGGCCCCATGCTGCATCATGCGCAAGGCGCCAACCCGCATGCCAGCAAGGTCCTCTTCATCCTGGCGCAAAACTCGGCCCCGCGACGTGAATCAACGCCTTGACATCATTGACTGTCCTGGGGGCAGGCAGCAGCGCTGGACGCGCTGCCTTGGCGACGCCTCAGACTTGAAGCTATGGCGTGCAACTCATCTCTTGCAACCTGGTTTGCAACCTCAGGACTAGGCTGGGCAAGGAAACCTTCGCCTGCATCACAGCGCCGCGCAACGAGGAACTTGTTTTATAGTCCTGAAGTAGATGGAACCTGTTTTTCCACAACTGCGAAGCTTAGGGTTCTTCCGCCATAGAAAAAACATGAAAAACTCTGGCGCAAATCGGGGCTGGTGCCGGAGCAGGTTCCGCGGAGCAAGTTCCGGAGCAAGCGTCCTCCTTTTGGCGCTCGCTGCAATGCCTTCTTCTCAGAAACTCCTTTGACTTCGCGATTGCAATCCCTGGGGCGGCAAAGGAAAGAAAACAAGCAGACTGTGACATCCCATTGCGCTGACTCTTCTTCCTTCTTCGCTTGCGGCCGGCTTGCCCCTCAGGCTCCAACCGCCAGCGTAGAAAACATCACGCCTCTCTCGACGACGTGAGATGGCGGCTCTTTGCAGCCATCTTCGAGCCCACGCCACATCCCAGATCCCGGAGCCCACCTGATTGTCTTGAGCCCGCTCTTGATCTCGGAGAGGTATCTCTCCAGGCTGACACCTCTCCAGTTCTTTGCCAACTCAAGTACTTCGGCTTCGCGTTCACCTATATCCTCACGGAGACGCGCGACAAGTACACCAACATCGCCAAAGAGGTGCTGTCACACAACTAACCGTCGTGCATGGATGGCACGCTTCCGCTTCAAGGACCGACAGCGATCACCCCAAAATCCTTCCACCTTCACTGGGCCTATGGACTTGATTTCTGGTATGTAGCTGCGGACGAGGCTCGTTCTTCGTCAGGCCCTGAGCTGGGTGGGCCTGAAGGCACTTCGGGCTCTCTGCGGGATGATGTTGGCTTCTCCATGTGGCATATAGTCCGGGTTCAAAGTGCATGATGTCGGCTTTAGGACTTGCGCCATTTATTTACCATGTTTTCAGCGGTTGAGATCCATGCAAAACCCATAGTATAGATGGCGCAAGGCTTCTAGGTCAGTCCCTCCCCATTCCTGCATTCTACTTTCATTGAGCTTGTTAGTGGACTTTCTAAGTCTGGCGGCTTTCCTCCACTCCAGTACTGTCTGGGCTTGTGACTTGTTTTTTCTCAGTCTTTCAATCCCGCCATCTTTCCTGCACGCTGGTATCATCTGGGCTTGTTGGGGCTTTGTCAGTCTTGGGAGAGACTTGCGCCATCCATTCAGGGTTTTGCAATTTTGCTCCCGAACTTTTTAAAGTCTCTTCTGTACAGCATCATTACAAAATTCACACTCCGCCACAGGTTTGTCTACCTCCACAGCCTTTATAGATGGCGCAAGGCCACAGTGAAAAAGGGCGTGAATGGTGTGATTTCATCGCGGTTTTTTGGTGGCCTTTCCGGCGCCATCTACCCTGAAATCTCCCAAGCAGCCGAAGCCGTCTACTTTTAACCCGGTGTATATATATATATGCATGTGGAGTAGGAGACACACCAACTCTCACGTAACGGTGTGGACGTACCATATGGTGAAAGAGCGGAGCCATTTCCAATACCTCATCCATACACGGCGCGCGTGCGGTGAGGCAGGAACGGACTTCTGTTCTCTGCGCGAACCCCTGACTCCTTCCCTCTGCCACGGATCAGCCTCCTCCAACGGGACCGCCTCAGCGCCAGCTTCCAAGGGCATGGCTGCAGCAGCCGCCACAGGCACCTCCACCATGGGGCCATCGGCCATGGCTCACCCTAACCCCTCAAGCTCCGCTACTAACGTGGGTCAGCGGGGACGACGCTCCTTTAAGCCAGTTCAAGGGAACACTAGAACGGCCACCAAAAGCGCAACAAATACATGAATGCGATTCAATGCATAAACATCCACGCAAGGAACTTGAAAGGTTTTCAATTGGACACCTGTCACATATTCTTGAAGTGAATTTGAAAAGGAATCTATACATAAAACAGTTGACAGGAAGTGAGCCGCGTATATTCAAGTAGTTGACCCTGAGCAGCATATTCCATCTGATCCACTTTGAGTTTGAAAGCGCATGTGGAATTGTCGGGTTAGTCTAGCTAACTAAACGCAAAAATGACGGCAAAGCAAACATGGGAATCGTGCATATTTTGGAAGAACAGTTTGGAGTTTCATATGGTCTTTTTGCGGAAAACACCTGGCGCGTTCAATTCTTTTCTATACAGTATAACTACGACGCTGAAGTCGCTGGTCTCTGTGCCGTGCAACTAGTTCAACTTGGAAAATACATTGGGAAGACGACGAGCCAACGAGGCAGTAAACAATGTAGGACACTTAGGATTTGCGCAATCAAGTAAGTGTAGGCTGACCGCCTGACGGACTTTTGTCCGTAGAAAAGCTCCTTGAATTGTTTTGACCTGACATGGCTGCGCTGCAAAGCAAAGATTTCGTTGAACCAAGCACTGGTTGGGATCACAAGCTGCTCGGTTTATGGGCGCTCGCAGTATGTGGGAGGAACCGAGAAGCCTGCCTCAGGATTGGTTTCGCAGTTTGGAGTGGGTCTGGGCTTTCAATCAGAAGCCTTAGCCCAAGACCAATGAACACCTGGAACTCGTAGCGCATCATTATTGCTGCATGTGGCTGTCTGCCGCTCCATCGATACAACAACTGTTGCAAGTGTACACCGAAATGCTAGGCTGACCTAAAGCCTGGCTGTAAATTGTTGAAGACGTTTGATGCCTTCACGACCAATGCGTGCACAACTTTGGCACTTGACCAAAAGCAATGGTTGAATTGCTGTTAAATGTTTTGTTTTCCCATGTTGATCAGTGTCATTTGGTATCACCTACAGAAGTTGCCACCAAATTGCATGATTTGCATTGGCATGCAAAAATAATCTGTCTGCTCTGAAAGCCCACGCAGCAGCGAAGGAGTCATGCTCCCAAAGCAATTGCAAGCTTGCGTGAAGCCCTATGATGTTTGGGCAGGGACAGGGCCTGACAGGGTGGCAAAGAAGCCTTGGTCTTTCTGCTTGGTGCAACCGAGCATGCGTGACATGCAGGCTTCATTTCATTTGGAATCGATCACAGTTCCCTGCCCTTTGAGGACAAACCAGGACAAATGACAGCTAGCCTAGCCATGCAGCAGTTGTGAAACAAAGTCCGCAAAGGCGGGTATCCGTCGCGCCTCGGACAGCAACCAACTTGAAGCCAAAATTACCAAGTGTCCTTCGCAACTGTTCTTTAAAGGGAAGGGCTCTTTGCACTTGCAGCTCAGCACGTTCTTTACTTGCCAGAAACGCCTCGAACTCATAAAGAAACACGGCAGTGTGTGCACAGCGTGCACCAATGTGAAGTGAAGAAACGCTTTAAAGCAGGATTTCAACCCTCAAATCCTGACTTGCCCAGTCGCACAAATGGTGGGTAAGGCCTTGTCTGTTCTCAGAATAGCCTCCTCCACCAGCAAAAGCCAAACGCTCCTGGGCCTGAACTGCTGGCGGTCAATGGTACAGATTTGACAGTACCAACAACATGAAAAATCACCCTCTCAAACTTTGCCTCCAGGAATGTGCGACGACACGCAGCAACCTGTCAGGTGACGTGTTTTTTAACAAATAACAAAAATCTGATGGTTTTTATAACATTTTTTGCACCAAAGCAAAATGCGACGTGTCGACAAGCGCTTTGATCCGTCGACCGCCCGGTTTTGCGACGTTGACGGGAATGTGCTGGATCAATATTTCAGGGGCGACAAACCAGAAGTTTCACAAAGAGGCAGCTCTGCTTCTTTGTGGCGGCATCCTGGCTCTAACTGTTTTGCCAGCTCAGTGCGGCAGGATAACAAATCCTTCGGTGTTTGACCCTTTTAGTGGGCATCCTAGCAGGAGGATGTTTACAGACTTTGACAACAAACTTCGACGGCTTCGACGCAACTCTGGCAGGAATTTGCACAAAACACGGCGACGGATTTTCAAGCATTTTTCATTGATGTTGACGGAGCCGAGGTTGGACGATTTAGCGCGCGAAAGAAGGCAGCCAAGCCACAAGCACAGGTTGACAACATCTACGTCTAAAACATGCATCCTCTTTAAGTGTTCGTGATTCAAGCATGCTGAAGTGTGGTTTTGTGTTGTTTGGTAGCTTGGCTTGCATCGCTTGGATAACGTCTATATAACGCCGTAAGACTGCCCGCTTTTCAGGCTTCCCCTCTCAATAACGTAGCGCAGAAGGACCTACGCAAAGGTTTAGCAAGGTCCGTCGTGCACCAACCGCGCTCACCGCACGCTTCCTCTTGAAGTGCTGAAAGCTCGAGCCCCGCCCTTACGGGGAACAGGAAACATGTCAAAAAGGTCATGATGCACCCCAGTCCGTTAGCCATTCGGGTGTGGATAGCTCGGAGGTTTCTTTCCAGCGCCCCATGGCCAGTTGAAGTTGAGACGCTTGGCCATCTTCGGCGTAGACCTCCTGCATCTCGGCTTCTGCTCCAATTGCCCGACTTTTCGTCCGGCCTCGAACTTCTCGTCGCGCACAAGGCCAGAAGTGCTTCTGGAGGAAGAGCTGGAGCAAGGTCTTCTTGGCCCCGCTCTTTGTGAGCGAGCTGCCCAGTTGGTGAAGCTCGTTCATCCACCTCAGCTGCGTCTGTTCAGCGCTTGGTTGACCGCAGGGTCAGCTCGCAGCCTGCGCGGCTATCTCTTAACCCATGGAGCGCAAAGAGGTTCCTCGTCGCATCGTCGAGTGCTCCTGGGACTACGCCGTGCCGTCTCACGCAGCTTGCCGCCAAACCCGGCCTTCGTGGCCCTGATCTGAGCCCCCTGCATGGCCCTCGCCGATGGTGACGCTCTGAACCTCGGCGTCATTGGACCCAAGACTCAAAACATTGTCGCGGCGTTTTGAAATTCTTCTATATACTGCACCACCGAGAGCTCACACTCATCTCCAGTCAGCGCCTCTTTCACAGTCACACGCCGTGATGATGCCCACTGTTGATCTCGCTGAGCAGCAGGGACGTCTCCGCCAAAAACTGTGGCGCTGGCTGCGTTGCCTGTCAGGACATCGCGCCAAGCGCCGCCCTCATCTGAGAAATCTCGTGTGGGGCCAACGGTGTCTTGCGCCTGGGTCTTGTCGATCTGGATCTCCTCAATCCACCGCAAGGTGTAGGTCTCCTGGCTCAGGATGATTGAGCGGTCTTCACAATCGCTTCACGGCGGTGGATCCTGCAAACTCGAATGCGTCGGTGCTCCATCGGCGCCAGCGGAAAGCGTCATATTGAGCAGTTCTCCCTTGTCTGGATGGGAGAAGGGCGACGTCTCATCACCGGCCAGCAGAAAATCAGGGCTCAAAAAAGCGAAAGCAGCGTTGGTCGCAATTGCTACCATTGAGCATCAACCGTGGTCCCCACCACTTGCGAGGAGCGTGACATAGCGGCGTGAGTAAATCATCACTGAGCTCCGGTTGGAGCCAGCACATTCAACTCCTCGTCCCCCAGGCTGGTGCCAGTCTGCGAAAAGGCACGCGTCACCGCGCTCGTGGTTGCGGTTCTTGGCGAAGTCATTCTCGTCGAGTTTTAAGGATCCAGAAATAGGATTTTTTCCTTCTATCCGGGGTTGCTGTTTGCAACCGGGGTTGCTGAAGACACTGACTCTGACACGTGCTACTATGCCACTGAAAACAAGCGCTTGTTGCCAAGCAAGCGCTCTGTCAATGTCAAGCGTTGTTACTATGCCACTTGCTGCCACTGTGACAATCATAGCAGTTCCTATGCCGCTTGTTGCCAAGCAAGCGCTCGTTTCTATGCCGCTTGCTGTCTGTGACAATCGAATCATAGGTCCTGTGCCTCCATTTATTTATACTCGATCTTATGCCCGCGCTGGAGACAGTGCCGGAGGATATTTATATTTTCGCCGGATGAAGAGAACACGCTTCATGATATCACTGTCACATCTATTTTTTTTGACACAGTCCTCCTCTTGAGTTTCTGTTTCATTTCGGTATTTAGACTTCGCGCGTCCGGAGAGTGACACAGAGGGCACGAACAGTAAGAGCTACGAAAGCCATGCCTTTTCGACGGAGCATCGCAAGTCTGTCAGATGACCCGCCAGTGCCCGGCTCCAAGCTGTTGTGTGCAAACGGAGATAGCCATCAAAAAGTAAATATCAAAACTAATGATTGGAATTTTTCGATTTCAACCTGTAAGGCCCTCATTGCCGTCTGGCAGAATGCTGCCAGTGAAGAAAAACAAATTGAAAAAAAGGGAGCCAAGGCGCAATAATATTATTTGACGGAGTGCAAGCGTTACCTCCGATTCCAAACGACAAGTCAGACGTTTGGAGTTATTTTTTGAATGAGGTTGAATGTTTTCAACTGCCAGGCTGATGCATGCACACTGTCTGCATCCAAGCGTCTGCCAAATTACGGATACGTGCTGCCATTCCATTTCAGCAGTGTCATGTGGAAGTTCGATCCTGGATGGGTTGGTGGTACAGCTCCCGACTGCGGTCCTTTGAACATGAGACTAGATTCTTGGGCACAAACTAGATTCCCGACGGCGTGTAACATTTTGCTTTGAAGTCTCAGTTTCTGCCAACAAAAACCGTCTAAGATCATAGCCGCCGTGTCAGGTTCCGCCGACCAAACAATGTCCCAGAGGAAGGCGCCCAAAGCTGCAGATGAAACCTATCATCCGGAATGCCTTCGGAACAATTCGTTGCTTCTTTTGAAAGACAAAGAGGTAGAGAGAGAGAGAATCGCCTACTAGTTTATCTTGAACTT